ACCATATAGTTTGCCATATGTTCTGATGTTTGTCTTACCCCCCACTTCCCATATTCTCCAATATTTTCCTGGGGATCGACGATTAAATGTGTCTGTGTGTGTTTTCCCCTCCTGAACTTGGTCGGGCACCGTGGCCTCCCGTGGTCTCCCGTGGTCTCCCGTGGTCCCCCGTGGCCTCCCATCGCACATGCGTGTCGTCGGTGCTCGTGCTGCACGCGCTGCCCTTAGGAGCAATTGCCTTCGCGGCCGTGGTCGTGTGCGCATCAACTCGACCAGTAGTCGGGTCAGCACTTGCGTCAAACCGTTGTCAGCACATATATATATGTATACATATATATACGTGCTGGCACTCGTATTGGTGTCTCCATCTATGCCCCCCTCTCTGGCCCGTGCTCAAATTTGTCTGAGTTTGAAGGGGGCTGGGAGGCCCAGCCAGCAGCTTCACCTGAAGCGAAGCCAAGTTCCTGCTCTGCTGTACCGTAGTAACGAGAGTCCCAGTAGGAGAGGATGTGCCATCTTAAACAATAGGAAGATCCTTTTGGTCTCGATGGCGATTGTGTGTTTTCGCAATGAGGCACAATCATATTTGGGCGGCCGGCCGCTTGAGCCGACGCGGCCGCGGGCGCACGCTCGCTTCCGCCCCTTACGTCCCTCAGCTCGCTTCTGGGGGTGTCTGCCGCAAGGATGTCAACCTACGGGCCAGGGGCCCGAACGCGGCCCCCGGAGGCCGCCCATGCCCGCAAACGAGCCAGAGCAGGTCCCGACTTGTTTCGGGCCCCCTGGGGGACGAGGACATGAGCCGCTGCACTGGGTGAGGTCGCAAGACGCCTCCAAGCGCTGAACACTTTTTGATCTGCGGGGCGAGGGCGAACCTCTTCCGCTAAAAGCTAGGCGGGCGACGCACAGCCTGAATTAGGGAGACAGGGCACAGGAAGGCCTCAAAACGAGGTTCCAGGCGCTGAACACAAGATCCACAACATTACCAAACTGCTCTGGCTCCATCCGCCCCAGCATCAGCAAGCGTCCCGTCGCCGTCCCGGAAGCCCCAGCAGCACGCGTCCTCGCCGACCCACCCAGAAGACTGAGAAGACGTTGATCGTCGAAGCCCGAACCTCGAACCTCGACGTCCAGAAACCTCGACCATCGAACCTCGATCATCCTTCCGCCCCAGCAGCAGGCGTCCTGCGCGATTGTTGCACGAGCTGTCTTCGCTCGCCGCATTCGATTCGGGGCTTGCTCAAAGATGACACGCTGTGCCCCTGGGAGGCGAGGCGGCTGCGGCTGCGCGATGCGAAGCGGTGCTTGTCGTGAGCATGCAGACGCAACACGTGCTGGAAGTGAGCGTGCAGGAGGAAGAAGAGAAGGACGGATGCTGGACCAGACCTGGCACGGGGGGGAAATAGGTCCTAAGGGAAAGGGGTCCCTGGACCCCTGTGGCCTCCCCCCCGGGACCAACTCTTCCTCCTGAGCCGGCTCCTGACACTCCCGGGGCCCGCGCAAGGCCCCGAGGGCCTATAGAAGACGCCGAGAACACAGGGGACCCGCTTCCTCTGCAGGACCAACTCTTCGTCCCGAGCCAGCTCCTGACACTCCCGGGGGGCCTGTGCAGGGCCCCGAGGGCCTGAGAAACACGCCGAGAACACCGGGGAACGCCGTTTCCCCCCAGGACTACCAACTCTTCGTCCTGGGCCGCCTCCTGGCACTCCCGGGGCCCGTGCAGGGCCCCGAGGGCCTCACAACAAGGGCGAGAGCACCGGGGGGCCCGTTTCCCCCTCAGGGGTATACCCTCTCGGGGGCGCGCAAACATGGATTCGCGATCCATGGACTTGGCGCGCAGTCGCGAAATCCATGGATCAAGCGGCCCCCGTCGCTAATCCACGCCCCGACCTCTCCTCCTCCTCCTCCACCTCCTCCTCCTCCTCCTCCTCCTCCTCCTCCTCCTCCTCCTCCTCCTCCTCCTACTCCTCCTGCTCCTCCCCCTCCACCTCCTCCTCCTCCTCCTCCTCCTCCTCCTCCTCCTCCTCCTGCTCCTCCTCCTCCTCCTCCTCCTCCTCCTCCTCCTCCTCATCATCATCATCCCCCTCCTCCTGCCCAGCTCGTCATCGAGGGCTCGGTCAGCCATGAGACGCTTGATCAAGCATGGACGAGGCAGGCGCACATACTGGCTGACACCCGCTCGCATTGGAAGCACATTGCAGGACCAGCAGGCGCAGTCATGATGTGCCTCAAAAAGTTCAACTGGAGGTACACGGATTTCGCGAGATGGACCACAGGCACTGGCATCTCCCTCGACTTGACGGTGCAGGCTCCAACCTGGATCAGACAGCTGGCGCGCAGAGCTTTCACCAACGTGAAGTGGGAGAGGTGGTCTACGAAGTCAGACGTGGCCCCAGAGACGACATCAGCGAGCAGGAGTCCCTCAGGTTACTGGCTCGAGCCGCTGCGCATGATGCTCACGGCTCCCCCGACGGCCAAGAAGTGGAAGCTCAACGATAGGGCTACGGGGACGCTACGCTCTACCATCATTGGCGGGCAATGGTCTCAACAGCGACTCGCCAAACACAATTTTTTAGACATGGACTATGTGGTGAAGGATGAGACGGGACACTTCATCATAGATTCTGGCAGTGCCCACACATGTGCGACTTGTGCAGAGAAGCGGTCAACCCCGACTTGATCGCCAGGGCCCAAGAGGCCCCAGTCAACAATATTTTCTTCACGCGAGCGCTCATGGAGAGGGACAGGTTACCACGAGTGCCACCACCAACCTTGGAAGATCAATGGCATTACGACAGATGGGAGCCTGGTCTAGTTATCACAGGAGGCATGTATTCAGATCGTTCAGGTCGCACCTTGGAGGGCTGGCCTGAGGCTAAGAGGGCAGGCTGGGGCTTCGCGGTCATGCAGAGGCACAGGTTCAAAGGCTTAGCCTACGGACCCCTGCCAGGGCATGAACAAACAGTACCGAGAGCGGAAGTGTATGCCATCAGCCAGATTCTCAAGAACGCCATCCTGCCTATCCACATCCGGTCGGATTGCCTCTACGTCGTGGGCGCCATCTACAAGGGGCCGTCGTGGTGTCTGCATCCTAGAAGGGAGCATCTCGATCAGTGGAAGCAGTTTTGGCACGTGGTGCAGGACCAGGGCGGCATGAGCGAGAACTTGCACATATCGTGGGTTCGGGGCCACCAATGGGAGATCGAGGCAACCGACTGGACGGAGAGGATAGGCAACCGCTGGGCCGACTTCGCGGCCAAGCGCGGGCTCCATTGCCATGACCTCCCCGCCGACGCTGTCAAGAAGCACGGCAAGCTCTTGCTGGAGCTGAGGCAGGTGGCGGCCTGGATCGCCAACTCCCAGGCCTTCGGCCAGGAGAGGACGCCCAACAGGATCGCGACCGTCGGGCGCAAGCCGCGCCGTGCGGGGCAGACCACTCGGCCAGAACGAGTGAAAAAGCGTCATCCAGCCATTGCGCTTGGCGCTAGCCCGCACGTCCCCATCATGTACAAAGAAGGCTGGAAATGTGCAAGGTGCCCTAGGTTCGCTAGGTCCAAGGTGGGGAGGCGTCGGATGTGTGCGGAGCCGTGTGGGGTCCAGTCGAGTGCCGTGCAGTCCAAAGCCAGCAGTGAGGAAGGTAGGAGCGTGCGTCCCCGCCAGGATGCCCAGGACCCCGCTCCTACTCCCTCGGCCTCGAGTTCCTCGTTTGAGCCTCCTGCTGCTCCCTCCTCCCCCTCGGACTCGACTTCTCCGTGCCTGAGCCATGATCTGTCTGACCAGACAGGTTTTGCGTGTGTGTCCCCGACTCTGACTGACCCGAATTTCAGAGTCTCGGGCGCCCCTGGCCAGGCCCCCGTCGGTCGGGTTTCTTCGGAGGCGGAGCTCGAGCCAGGCCGTGACCCCAAGAGACCCAGGACCGCGGCTGAGATGTTCAAGATGGTTGCTCAGCGCGAAGCGAAGGCAGCTAGGAGTGTCGCCCCGCAGCAGACCCCCACTCCTACCCGCTCGTCCTCGGCTGAGCCTTCTCCTCCGCCTCCTCCTCCCCAATTCGAGCGAGTCGTGCGCCCCAGGGCCACGTTCGCCCCCGTCCTTGAGCCTCCCCCAGGGCCCACGGAGGTCCTCAGGAGTGCGGTTCTGGATGGCTCGAAGCGCCCGAGGGCTGCCCCTCTCGGCAGGTGCCACGCGGTCCCGCCTGAGGCGCCCCTGCCCCCGTCTGGAGATGTGCCGACTGAGAGCGCCCGAGGGCACCGATTGTTTATCGCCAACGACCTGGTTGGCTGTGCGCGGTGCGGCTCTTACTCGGACAGGGGTGCACGCTCTCAATTGTATGATGTCTGTGACCGATCCCAACTGGAGGACAACCCCCAACGGAAGTGGCGCAGAGATAACTTGTTTGCTGGGGTTCACCCGAAGGGCGCGAAAGGTAACCCCGCTATCCCTGTCCCCAGGCGTCTCCTGGTGACAGACGAGGCCGTGCAATGGCTTGGCCTCCGTCCATAATCTAACTTACAAATTCTGTGTCAATTCGTTTGGCTGTGAATCGTGGTCGCTCGTGGTCATTCGGGCATCGAGGGCTTGCGTCGGCGATGTCGCATCCCCCTCGCAAGAGTGCGCTGATTGCTTTATCGTACTTATTGCGTCGGTGCGCTCAACGTTCTGTGTGAGATTGTGCTGCTCTGCTTCCCCGTCGCTGCTGCTCCGTCTTGACCCCGAACTCGGCGCGTCTCTCTATGCGTCCCGACCTCTCCTCCTCCTCCTCCTCCTCCTCCTCCTCCTCCTCATCCTCCTCCTCCTCCTCCTCCTCCTCCTCCTCCTCCTCCTCCTCCTCCTCCTCCTCCTCCTCCTCCTCCCCCTCCCCCTCCTCCTCCTCCTCCCTCTCCTCCTCCCCCTGCTCCTCCTCTTCCCTGTCTGCTTCCTCCCTCGTCCTCGCCTCCCGCGCCAGGGGCCACCCCCCGCGCGGGCGCCGCGCCCGCGCCCGCGCCCTCCCCCCCGACGGGGCGCTCCTCCTGGCCGCCCCCACCCTCCGCGGGGCGGCCGCCGCCGGCGGCGGGCCCCGCGCCGGCGAGCGCCTGGCCGCGGTGCGGTTCGCCGCGGCGCGTCGCAGGCCCAGGCGCCCATCGCGCTGTGGAGAAGTCACGACGGGAGGCTCAGAATTAGCTCGGGCGTGTCCCGAGCAGGCGGATCTTGGACGAAAAATTAAAATCACCCGGGGCAGGATCAGACAGATTCAAACATAGTCGACAAATGGTCCCCAGGCTTTTCTCTTTTTATTTGTTTAAACTATTTTTGAATATTCGGCACGCCCTCCAGGGGGGAGGCGCGCACCGAGAAATCCCAGAGTAAATGCGCCGTGGCGGGCGCATATACTGGCCACAGCGCTGGGGAAACGATCTACTACGAGATGGGCACACTAGATGTTCGGGTCAGACGCGCGCCTCCGAGGCGGACATGTATTAGTACATCTGTCTCTGTGCGCCCCATCCTGCTGTACTCGAGCGAGGACGCTTTTGTTCGCTCTCTCGGCTCGGAACGCATTCCCCAGGACCGGTTTTTCATCCAGGATCGTTTTTTGACTGTCCCGAGGTCCAGTAAGGGCCCCCCGAGGCCGAAACTAGCGAAAACCATTCGGTCGTAATTTTTTGTTCAGGGCTCAAGGGGGTGTAAATCAATTCTTCTGTAGTCGATCCCCTCCCTACTCGAGCGAGGACGTTCTGGCTCGCTATCTCGGCTCGGAACCCTTTCTTCTTGGCTGGGGGGGGGCCGGCGCGGCTTCGCCCCGCGTCTCCAGCCCTAGCCCAGACTCCCGACCTGTCCTCCGTCCTGCCCTTGCTGCACCCTGGAGGGCGCCAAATTTGAGGAGGAGGAGGAGGAGGAGGAGGAGGAGGAGGATAAGGAGGAGAAGGTCCTGGGGTCTCGGGGTAGGGTTTCTCGTGCAGGTGTCTCAGACCCCCCAAGAAGAGGCCCGATCCGAGAGAGTGAACCAAAGCGTCCTCGGTCGAGGAGGGGATCGACTACAGAATTAATCGACACCCAACCGAGCGATGATCAAAAGCGGGCCTCACGCGAGCTGACGCAGCGACCTTACGCGGCGGCCCACGCGGGTCGCCAGCACGGCACGCGACCTTTGGAGAAGAAGGCGCGCATACGCGCGACCCCACGCGGGCAGCTTACGCGCGAATGTCGGCGCAGACGAACCCGTTTTGCTGCGTCGCTCAACTTGCTTCCCCGTCGAATCCACGGAAACAACCCTGAGATCCTGGCGTCGCATTTTTTTCTCAACGGGCGTGTTCGCTGATTTTCGGGCCCCGGGGCCCTCACGTATCGATCCGTCTCGAAGAATGATGCAAAACGATGGGGTCCAGGGCTCTGGTTGTGATTTTTGCGATGTTGCAGTTTTTTTGGCAACAGCGGATCTCAGGGAATGCGTAGAAGGCCCCGTAGATCTGCGGAGCACACTACGCAGACTCAGCGAACCAATCAACGCTGAGCCGAACCGATTCCGCCATCGAGCCCCTGCTCGACTCGCCCCCCTCCGCCCTGGCGGGCCGGGCCCCTCCACGGGCGGCGAGCCTCTCTGTCTCGTCGCCCTCGCGGTCTGGACTCTGGGGCGCGGTCCCGCAGAGCCCACTCACCGACGTCATGATTTTTTCATGACGCGGCCCCCAGAGGTCCGGACCCCTTCCCCGGGACCGGTTTTTCACCCCGAGTCGTTTTTGACGGTCCTGAGGGCCGGCGAAGGTTCCCAAAGGCTCAAAATGGCGAAAACCCTCCCGTCGTGATTTTTTCATGACTCAAGGAGGTCTGGGAGGCGCGGCCGCACGGCTGCGCCCGGGCCAAGCCCGCGAGGCCGCGGCTGCGGACCCCACGCCCTCCCGCGAATGCCACCGCGTGCTCGCGCCGTGGAGCACGCGCCCTTTTTCGTCCTCGCTGCCCCGGCCGCCACCGGCCGCCATCGCGCCCGGCCCGCTGCTCCCGGCGCTCGGCGCCGCGGACGGCCTGCGGACGGCTCGCGCGGCCCAGCGCGCCCTGCGGGCACGCCGCGGCCCGGCCGAGCGCCCCGTCACTCCCCGAGCGCCGGGCGCCCGGCCGCCGGGCCGCCCGGGCACGCCGCGGCCACGCGCCCGGCGTCGGAGGCCGCCACGGGGTGCGCGACGCCAGCGGTGAGGCTGTTGCACAGCGGGCAGCGCAGGTGCGGCACGGTGTACGACGGGGCGCTCACCCACGAGCTGTAGCAGGCGTGGTGCACGACGTGCTTGCAGGGGAGCAGCATGGTGAGGTCCTCGCGGCGCTCCAGGTCCGCGAGGCAGATGCAGCAGTCCTCCTGCGAGAACACCTCGACCACACAGCTGGCCGCGCGCCGCAGGGCGCCCAGCCGCGCCAAACGCCGCCGGCGGTACATGCGCACGGCCATGTGTCTTCGGGAGACCTCGGCGAGGAAGCACACCAAGTGGAACACCATTATGGTGAGGGGTGCAAACAAAGCCACCTTCGCGATCAGGGGGGCACGGGCCCAGAACAACTTCGGCATCAGCAGGGGCCAGAGGAGCAGGAACAACCTCCTGTGTATCTGGCCTGATGGAGACATGATGAATGTGAACCTCAGCGCGTGATCTGGGTCCAGCCTCGTCAGGCGCTCGCCAGGCGACGGGATGTCCGACACAACCCACGATGCCGTGGTCATTCTAGGCTCCACGTTGGCAGGCACGGGCACCGTGACATGGAGTTCAGGGATCACACTGCCACGTGGCGGCCCCCGGTGGTGCGCCTCCGAGGCGCTCTGGGGCAAGCCAAAGCCTGGGAGGGTGCCGTTCGGGCCGAGCAGCACCGCGTCCCCGAACAAGCGCAGGTGCAGGTGGGGACCCTGGTCGCAGAACTTGTACTGGTACCGCATGCGGCCCGCGCCAGCGTTCCACCACCGAATGGCCTCCGGGCCCCACTCCCCGCTGGGCACCAGGGTGGCCACCGCTTGCCGGGGGGGCTCGAAGCGCCAGTAACTCAGCAACGGCAGCGGCACGACCACAGACCGCGAAGCCTCGCGAGCGTCGGTGGCGTTCTGGATCCCAGACAAGGCATCGCCGTCGCCCCTCCTGGCGAGGAACCCAGAACTGACTGGACCGGCGCGGAGGAACCCGCCCGAGGCGCCGTCCGCGACGCGCAGCCGGACGACCCCTGAGGAGAGACACCTCCGCGCGACGAGGTAGCACAACACAGCGATCCACGGCGACAGCAGGGGCCACCACTTTCGGCGGTGATTCTCGAAGGCGCCTCGCTCCGCGAACGGGCCATCCCGCTGCATGGCGGCGCGGTGCCCAACGGGAGCGGGGGGAGCGAGATGGGGGCGATGAGCGAGGAGCGGCTGGATGAGACGGCTCTGAACAAACAAAGCGCTGCGGGCTTGAGCCAAAATGGCTACGGACAAGTCGCGGCGGCAATTTATCACAGATTCGGCCCCCGGGGGCCCTCACCAGGCCCTGGATCTGTGAGAAAACGACTCAGGATGGAAAAATCTGCCCCGGGGAGAGGGTCGGGACTTCCGAGAACCCCGCATCGAAAGATCAAGACATCGCGTGTGCCTGGGGAGCCCCCCGCAGAATTCGCTCAGGAACTCCTACCTGGCGTGTCGCGGCGGCGGCTCCTGCGACACGCCATACCCCGCGAGCTGATGGCGCGTCGCTTCGATCTGGGGGCGGGAATCCATGAAAAAATCGGGGGCGCTGACGCCTCGGGACCGGGGCGTGGCCAGCGTGTCGCGCCCAGGCGTGGCGGGCCGGATCTGGTGGCGCGCCACTGTCAGCACAAGTTCCTCACCGTCAGCACCCGCGAAGCCCTTCGGTAAACGCACCCACCCCACTGGAAGGAATCGAACAGAGCAGGGCTGCCTGGTAAACGCCAGGGGCCATTCGGTGAACCCTAATTCGGGGTGTCGCGGTGCTGTTTCCTCCCGTAATCGTCGTCGCCACCGCCGCCGCTGCTGTCGCCGGTGCCGCCGCCGCAGACATCCCGCGCACCGACGGACATCGGAGCGGCCACTCTGTCGGACTGTTGGGCGTCTCTGGGAACTGGAGCCCACGCATCTAAAACAGTCGACCCGTATCATCAGGATGCGCGGTAATGGTGCAAGGTCCTTGGAGGGCCACGTTACCGTTTTTCGAACGTGGTTGGCCAGCGCGAATCGCGAAGGATGGGCCGAAGGGGCAAGGATGCAAGGCCGTGGGAAGGTTGCCCATCCTGACGATGCGGGCTGATTGAAGTCGAACCGCTGGCTGTGCGCGGCCGTCCTCGCCGCCGCTGCAGCAGCCGTCGACGCCGCCGCCGTCGCCACGGCCTTCCGCCGCAGCCCTTCAAAGTACCCTCTGATGTCTTTCTATGCCTGCATCTGAGGGGCAACGATTAAGGGGGACCAGCTCAGGAGGGGAACATCGACCTGGAATCGGCGATGCATCTCCGATCGATCGGCGACTGGCCCAAGGTAGCGAAGCCACACGCTCCTCGGCGCGGTGGGCTACCAGACCCCTCTCAGCGATCAATGGGCCATTGGGGGTCGACGCCTCCCCTCGGAGCCTACCTCGGCGGTGGACAAACCTCCCTTTAGTAAACCTGCCCTTAGAGAAAACGGCCTGGGACCGAAACCGACGGACCTGGACCCGCAAAAATGACGGCCGCGACGCCCTCTCGGGAACCGAAAACGGCCAATTCCTTAATCGACGTGTCAGGGTAGGGGGTCTGTCCACCCCCGACTATCCCCCCCTTTATCGTTGCCCCTGCTGGAGGCCTCTGGGAGGCCTCCGGGGACCTCCAGAGGCCCCCATCAACGGAGGCCTCTGGGAGACCTCCTGCGGTCGCCGCCGCCGCCGTCGGTGCCGCCGCCGCCGTCGGTGCCGCCGCCGCCGTCAGCTTAACCGGAGGAGGAGGAGGAGGAGGAGGAGGAGGAGGAGGAGGAGGAGGAGGAGGAGGAGGAGGAGGAGGAGGAGGAGGAGGAGGAGGAGGACAAGGAGGAGGAGGAGGACAAGGAGGAGGAGGACAAATTCTGGGAGAAGGAGCCGCGTGCCTAATCTCCTGTTCCGGTTCCATTCACGGATGTCCCCTGAGCGGAAGCCAGGTTCCAGGAGAAGGAGGAGGAAGAAGCATGCATGAGGTGCAGGAGAGGAAGGGGAGGGATGGACGAGGAAGTGAAGCATGGGGCCTCGCTCGTTTCCAGCTCCACCTCCTCTTCCAACAGCCGGGCCTCGCCGCCGTCGTCGATACTTCTCCCTCCGCATTCCCCCGCCTCGAGCAGGCTCATCCCCGGTCGCCCTGCTCGTCCTCGTGCCCATCCTGCACCTCCCCCCCTCGAGCCCCAGAACCTGAGGAGGCAACTCATGGGAGGTCCTGGTCGGAAGGATTACGACGGATTCATTGGGGGGCTGTTGCGCCGGAGTGGGTCTCGGAGTGAGCGGCACTGAGCCGGATGAAAAGGGATTATAAGCGGGATCAAGCCGGATTAAGCGGGATTGAACCAGATGAGGCCCGATTTCGCACCAGGGCAAAAGAAGAATTTCACATCCCAGGAGCTGCCTCCGAAAGAACCAGTCCCAGGGCGCGCCCCGGCCAGGGCTCGGAGGTGGCTGCCGCCGCGGGCGGCGCGGAGCCTCCCAGAGGCCCCAACGGGCCCCAGGCCCGCCTCGCACCGCAAGCCGTGATCCTCGATGCTCCCCCCTGCACCGGCCAAGCACTGAAGGGGCCCTGGGACACACAAATGAATACACACAAATAAAAATATTCCCCATATTTTCCCATACTTATTTTCTGGGTTTTTGTCTTCCCGCCCAATTCCAAAATTTTCCCATATTTTCTTGGGAATCGACGATTCATTGTGTCTGTGTTTTTTTGTTCCCCTCCTGAAGCACGACGTACGAGGCTCGTTGCGTCTGCCTCCTTCTCGCTCGGTCGGGAGCCACACGAGAGCCGAGGTCGCTGCCGAGCCTGGGCGCAAGGAGGCAGGCGTCATGCAGAGCGGGGCGGGAGGAGAAAGAGCAAGCGCGAGGCCGAGAGGAGGGAGAGGCTCGCCTGGCCGAACACCACCGCTATGCCCTCCGACGCCGTCGCAGGCCGAGCCGGCAGAGCAAATCGAAGCGGAAGTGAAGCATGAGTCGCTATGCCAGGGACACCGTTGGTCACCCGATGTTCCGGAAAAGGGCATGGGCACGAGCTGACTGGCAACATAGGGCGCCACCGCCTCGGCGGTCAGAGATGAGACCGTGTGGCCAGAGTACCACCCTCGCAACCCAAACCCCCGACGTCGCGATCTTCTCTCAACGGGGTCCCCGAGAGATCTCAATTCGCTTCCCCAGGGGCTGGCTTCTCATTCTACACAAACTGTGTGCTGACGGCTCGACCGGTGAAGGGCCCCGAAAGGCCGAAAACAGTCACAAGCCGTCCGTCGTGATGTCGTTTCATGATGTCAGGGGCTCTTGGAATACGACCGCCGGCCACCCAGGGTATGGCAAGCGAGCGTCGTAGCGCCTGACGAAGAGAGGAAACACCGACTTGGGCGACATGACCAGTGAGCCTGCGGCAGCACACGACAGTGATATACAAAAGGCAGGTCGGCGACGACAGGCGCGAGAAGACTGGCCCACAAGGGCACTCAAAAGACTGAGCGCGCTGAATCCAGAGGGGAGGACAAACCAATCCCATGAGCCCTCTGGGCGCAGGTGGTCAAACGATGTTTTTCTTTCATCTTCGAACAAAAACCCTTCTTCTCCGTCTTGGAAGGGAATACCCCTCCCCCTACCCCCTCCCCTGGACCTGGACGGGGGTGTTCGCGAGCGGTCAGGGCGTCCAAGATAGTCTAAGATAGCTCCAGAAGGCCCTCGGAGAGCCCAAGATGGCCTCCAAGGTCCCTCAAGATAGCCCAACATGGCTCACGATAGCTAACAGCATGTCTCCAAGAGCCCACGGTTCCAGGTCCTGTTGGCGACCCCTCATGACCTCCCCGAGAAGCCCGCATCCTTCAAACATCAAAGGAACATCACTGGTGTTTGCCTTCTCGCCTTTTCGCTTCCGATGCGATTTTGAAGCCTCAAGATGGCCCGAAGGTGGCCCAGGGGAGCTCCGTCGAGAAAGGCCCAAGAAGGGCCCCAAGACTGCCCCAAGATCGCCTATTTCGATGGCCCCGGAGAGGGGAGAGAAACCGAGAGCACCCCTCCTTTGATCGATGGTCTCCAAGATGGCCCCAGGAGGCGCCCCATAGCTCCCAAGAAGGCCCCAAGAGACCCCAAGAGAGCCCCAAGAGGGCCCCAAGAGGGCCCAAAGGCGCCCCAAAAGAGCCCCACGAGAACCCCAAGACCCCCAAAGAGCCCCAAGAGGGCCCCAAGATGTCCCAAACGAGCTCCAAGAGGACTCCAATATCCCCAGATACAGGCCCTAGCTCCAAGAAGGCCTCCGATGCTCCGAGAAGGCCTCCAAGATGGCTCAACACCCTTCTTCCTCTCCTCTCCTTGCACACTCTGTTTCACTATATGTGTCTCTTCGTCCCTTTTCCCGTCAGCTCTCATGGGCAGTGTTTCTGAATGGGCTGGTGGGGACTCGCGAAGAGTAAACATGTAGAGAAGCACGAATCTGCATGTTCTCCTCCATGGGCCCTAAACGCTGAGATGTGCACAGTAGATGCGTAGACTCTGTAGCGTGATATATTCAGTTTGATATATGTGGTGTGACCTGTGAGGTATCAACTATAAAACAATATGAAAGAGAGAGAGAGAGAGAGAAAGAGAAACAGACAGAGAGAGAGAGAGAGACAGAGAGAGAGAGAGAGAGAGAGCGCCCTTGATACACTCCCTCCCCCCCGTTGGACTTCTCCAGCTGGAAACCCCGTCCCTTTCTTTCCTGCCCCTCGCAAGCTACCCCCCCTGCCTTTTCGCGCTCCGGACGCTACCACCCCTCCCTTTCCCAAGGGCCCTTGGACCTCCCGTCGGAAAATCATTTTTTCTGCCCCTCGGAAGATAACCCCCCTCTCGCGCTCCGGAAGCCCCCCTCCCCCCCTCCCCCCCTTTTTGGCTAAAAGGGGGGGGGGTGAGAGCTTCCCCCGGCTTTGGCTAAAAGATAGAATGCCGAAGACCAGAAGCCGAAAACCAACAGAGCGCCAAAACCCAAAGGGATACCGAAAACCGAAAGGGTGCGAAAACCACCGGCGCGCCGAAAACTTAAGGAACGCCGAGTACAGAAAAGGCGCCGTAATTCGAAGGTGAGCCGAAAACCAAATGCGCCGAAAACCGAAGGTGAGCCGAAAACCAAAGAAGGACGAAAACCAACAAAAACAAAACACATGAGGACTCCGACGAGAATCGATTTAGCTTGCCCCTCGTCTTTTCCTTTTCGCCCTGGCGGAGTCCTTCCTCCCGCCCTCTGGTTGCGCCTCCTCCCCCTCCTCGCCATCTTCGCCCTCCGTCTCCTCCTCCTTCTCGTTTTCCCCTTATTCTCCACCTCCTCCTCCCCACTTTTCCTCCTCTTCCTTGTCCTCCTCCTCCACCTCCTCGACATCATCCTCGTTGCCCTGTCGCTCTCTCCTTGTTCTACCCATGCGCCACCCCTGTCTTTTGGCTGGGGCAGATCGATTGTCATCGGCGCCGTTGCCGCCGCGGCCGGCATGGGGGGGGTTCCTCCGATGGCCGGATCGCGAAGCCGTTGGGGCAGCCCCGCGGGCGAGGCCTTTGGGACAACCCCGCGAGCCGCTGGGGCGCGGGAGCCAGCCGTTGGGACAACCCCGCGGGTCTCGAGCTAATCGCGGCCACGCTCAGGCGGGGGGCCGCTTGAAGTCTAGCCATGCCGCGAGCTGCTCCGCCTCAGCCCTGGACTTCACCGCTCTCTTGCCCAACTCCCCAAGTGCTCTCCGCAGGGACGCCGGCGGCCCGCGTTCCAGGAGCTCTCGCGTGAGCGGCCGCAGGATGAGCATGTTCCGCATGCACGTGGCGGGGGAGAAGATCATGTAGAGGTGCAGCCACCACTGGTAGTCCGACGTGCCCGTGTGGCCAGCGTCCTCATCCCTAGATTCGCCCACAGAAAAGGCCCCCGCTCGCGACATGCTCCCGCTTCGCCTCCCAGGAGGTGCTCAGGTCAATGGCTGCTATTGAAAGCCGATGGCCGCCTGGGATTTGAACATGGAATGCGGACCCCAAAGAGGAGGGGGCTCCCGCTGGAGACTACCCCACCATTCACTCACAGACGAGGCCCCCGCTGAAAACCAAACAAGCACCGAAAACCAAAGATGAGCCGAAAACCAGGCAGGTGCCGAAAAGCAAAGGGGCGCCGAACACCCAAGGGGCGCCGAAAACCAACGATGCGCCGAACACAAAAGATGCGCTGTAAACCAAAAGGGCGCCGAAAAACCGAAGGGGCGCCGATAACCAAAAGGGCGCCGAAAACGAAACGGGCGCCGAAAACAACAGTAGCCGCGAAGACGGAGAGGGAGCCGAAAACAAAAAGGGCGCCGAAAACCAAAGGAGCGCCGAACACCAAAGGGCCGTCGAAAATTAAAGGGGCGCCGAAAACCAACGATGCGTCGAAAACCAAAAGGCGCCGAAAAACCAAAGGGGCGCCTCTAACCAGAAAGGCATCGAAAACGAAGGGGCGCCGAAAACAAAAGGCGCGCCGAAAGCCGAAAGGCGCCGAAAACCAAAGGGGCACCGAAAATCAAAGGTCGCCGAAAACCAACAGGATGCTGAAAACTGAAGGGGCGCCGATAACCTAAAGAGCGCCGAAAACCAAGAGGGCGCCAAAAACCAAAGGGGCGCCGGAACCCAAGAGGAAGCCTAACTCAACGATGCGCCGAAAACCAGAAAGGGCGCCGAAGAACAAAGGAGCTCCAAAAACCACAGGGGCGCCGAAAACCTAAGGAGCGCCGAAAACCAAAGGAGCGCCGAAAACCAACGGAGCGCCAAAAGGCCACCAAAGGGGCGCCGAAAACCAAAGAGGCACCGAAAACCAAAGACACGCCGAAAACCAAACAAAGTACGCCGAAAACCAACGGAGCGCCGAAAACCAAAGAAGAACAGTAGCTTCGAAGCTCCCCCTTCGGCCAAGGCCCTCCAGCTGGAAAAGCCAAGAGGCGGGGGGTAGCTTCGGAGGCCTACCCCTCCCTTTGGAAAGGGGTGCCCAGGCTTACCCCAGGCCCCGAAAAGGAGGGCAGGGGGCGGGTAGCTTACACGCCCGCCCCCCCGGTTTAGCCAGGGAGCCCCCAGCTACAAAATCCAAACAAAAGGAGGAGGGTAGCTTCGGAAGCACCCCCCCCCTTTGTGAAAGGGGAGCCCCGGCGATTCTGGGTTCGGGAAAAGAAGGGGGGGTACCTTCAAGCCAGGGCCCCCCTTTGAGTGAGACAAGTGCCACGAGCGTACTCTTTCGAAGGAGTACATGTGGTGCAATATATGTGGTAAGAGCTCTGCGGTGCAAGCTGTGTCTTGCAATATGTGTGGTATGAGCTGTGTGGTGGCAGCTTCCTGGTGCAGTATAGGTGGTGCAATATACGTGGCGGTAGCTATGTTGTATCAACTATTTGGTGCACTCTAAGTGATGCAGCATGTGCAGTGCAATCTGTGGTGTGAGCTACGAGGTGGAAGCTGCGTAGTGCAATTGGTATACATATATATATACACATATAAACACAGATGGCGTGTGCTATGATATGTGAGCTAGGCGGTGTACCCTGGGTGGTGCGCCACGCTCTGTTTGGTATGAGCTGCGAGATGCGGGCCGTGCGGTACCCTCTGCGTGGAGTGCAACACACAGCGCACGCACGGTGCGCCAGCGAGGCGACAACGGGCGGCCACGGGGCGAGACCTCGGCGGACCCACGCAGCGCACGGGGCGCCCACGAGGCGACCACGGGCGGCCACGCGGCGAAACCGCAGCGGATCCGCCCAGCGCACGGGGCGCCCACGCGGCGACCACGGGCGGCATCGTGACGAAACCTCGGCGGACCCACGCAGCGTACGGGGCGCCCACGAGGCGCCCAAGCGCGGCAACGTGGCGAAACCTCGGCGGATCCATCCAATTCCTTAGGGACACAAGTAAGAGCCCCTGAGCGCAAGCACTGTCTGGGGAATGGACATGAACTTTGGCAGGTCTGTGCGGATGTCTTGGATCTGCGCTCTGGACCACTTCCCTGGCGCGCAGAGTGCGCCGAGGTTGGCGCCGGAGGCGCCGCCAGGGGAGTCGAGCGCAAATCCAAGAAATCCGCGTGGAGCTCCCTAAATTTACGTTTGCCATGAGATCCGTTGTCGCAAAACAATTGTGACACCGCCAAAAAACACGACCAGAGCCCCGGACCCGATTTTTCTGCGTCATTTTTCGAAACGGATCGATATGTGAGGGTCCCTGGGCTCGAAATTGAGCGAAAACGCTGTTTCTGAACAAAAATGCAACGCCAGGATCTCAGGGTACGAAATTCGTTTTCTTTCGACCCATCTAAACCACATCCCATTTCCCTCCTTCTCCAGCCCCCGAAGTCCCGACCCTTTCCCTGGGGCCGGCTTTTCATCCCGAGTCGGTGTTTGACGGTCCCAGCGAGGCCCGCTGGGGGCCGAAACTTTAAAGAGAAATCTGCGCCTCGTTATCTTTAAATACGCCAAGGGTCTGGGTACCGTGCTGGCTTTTGGGTCTGCGGCGGCCGTTCGGACGATCTGGACACCCCCAGAGGGCCCTCGTCGATGCGCAGCTGCTGGAAAGAATCCCAAGGCTGGAGGAGCGTCGCGAACCGACAGAAACGTCCGAAAACGAAGGTCTGGATGCTCCTCCTCCTCCTCCACCTCCTCCTCCTCCTCCTCCTCTTTCCTACTCCTCATCTCTCCTCCTCCTTCCACACCCTCCTCCTCCTCCTCCTCCTCCTCCTCCTCCTCCTCCTCCTCCTCCTCCTCTTTCCTACTCCTCCGCTTTCCTCGCCTCTTCCTTCTCCTCCTCCTCCTCCTCCGCCAACTCCTCCTCCTCCCCGGCCTCCTGCTCCTCCTCCTCCTCCTCCTCCTCCTCCTCCTCCTCCTCTTCCTCCTCCTCCCCGGCCGCCTGCTCCAGCAGCCCATCCTCCGCGCCCTGGAGGTGCTCCAGCGCCTCCGCGGCGGCGCCGGCGCGCTGCTGGCACTCCAGGAGCCGGGCGATCTTGACGTGGGCCGCGACGAGGTCCTTCTCGGCTCGGGGATCGACTGACCCGGGTCAGTCCAGACCTGGGACAGTCAGGCCTTGCAGAGTCCTGCAACATCATGCACGATCCTGCATCCACGCCCGGGTCAATGCGAAGGATCCTGCAAGATCCTGCGGGATCCTGCACCCAAGCCCGGGTCAATGCGACCCTGGCCCTGCAGGATCCTGCAAGATCGGGCGCTCTGACTGACCCCCGTTTGCATTGACCCCCGTCGCAAGGCTCCCGACCTTCGTTGCGGGGGGACGGCCCTGGCCCCCGACAGCCTCTCCGCAGGTCTTCGGTCCCAGTCCGCCTCGCGCTAGGAAGAGATCACGACCAACGGTTGGGGGCTTTCTTTCGGCCTCCGTATACGGGGGCCCCTCCTCCTGCCGGGCCCGGGACGCGTCAACGAGAACTCCTCGGGACGAAAAGCCGGTGCCAGGGAATGGGTAGAAGACCTCCGGGGGGGTCCACGTCATCGACTAACGTGACGTCAAGAGCCTCCTCCTCGGTTCCCACAGGGTTTTCCAGCGCCGGGGTGCGTTCCAGAGGCTGCGCCTCGCCGAGGGCGTTCTGCGCAGGTGTCCGGATCGTCCGGCCCATCCGCTGGAGGCCCGAGCGATGCCCCGGAAATCAGATGGTGACCTCACGGGGGGATCGGGGGGGATGCATCGACACCGAATCGCCCGCCCGTTGATCGCGGCACGAATAGGAACAAGGAAAGGCGACACCAACACCAGCAGGGCGAGGAGGTGCGAGGAGGCAAGGGGGGTCTCCCTCGTGGTGTGGTCCCCCCCTCTCGCTCGAGACATCCCCAGCCTCCAGCTCGGGGAGGCCTCGTGGGGACCTCCTCGCTGGAGGTGGCCCCCCTGGTGGTGTTGGTGTCGCTTCCCCTCCCTCCCACCGAATGCCCGCCCCGCCCGGGAGCGTGCGGATTCGCTCTGGGGAACCTGGCGCCGATCCGTCGGCGAGGCATCGCCGATTGCAGCTCCATGAGAGAATGGGTCAAAACCTCTCAGGGGCTCGCGCCATGAGAAGTCAGGACTTCCGTCGTCGTTCGCGGGCGAGAAGACATGAAAGCGCATCCACAGCCCCGCGGGCCCGGCCGCTGGGCCGCGACCCCGCGGAGACCGGGCACTTGTTCTGCGGATGTCCCGCGCGATGTCTCCTCCTCCTCCTCCTCCTCCTCCTCCTCCTCCTCCTCCTGCTCCCCCTCCTCCTCCTCTCTCCTTCATCCTCCTACCTCCTCCTCCTCCTCTCCCCCTCCTCCCCTCCTCCTCCTCCTCCTCCTCCTCCTCCTCCTCCTCCTCCTCCTCTCCTCCTCCTCCTCCTCCTCCTCCTCCTCCTCCTCCTCCTCCTCCTCCTCCTCCTCCTCCTCCTCCCCTCCTCCTCCTCCTCCTCCTCCTCCTCCTCCGCCTCCGCCTCCGCCTCCGCCTCCGCCTCCGCCTCCGCCTCCGCCTCCGCCTCTCCTCCTCCTCCTCCTCCTCCTCCTCCTCCTCCTCCTCCTCCTCCTCCTCCTCCTCCTCCTCCTCCTACCCGTGCGACCGCGTCTCTGCGAGATCGCGCCCCAGAATCCAGAGCGCGATGGCGCGGATTTGGATACGTTCGTCGCAGGTTCGTCGTCGTCGTCGGGTGGGAAGACAGAAGACCTCGTGGCGGCCCACGGCTCTTGCAGCACCACGATGACAGGGAGCCTGGGAACGACGACGACGACGACGACGACGACGACGACCCACGACTCCCCTCAGATCATTCCTTCCAAAACAAATCGCAACAACTCGAACCAGAGCCCTAAGCCTAGACCCCCTTTGGCGGCGCGCCGAGGGGCTTCGCGAGGGAGGAGGGACGGCTTCTCGGAAGCAGGCTGCCTCTTAGGTGGCGCGGGCCTTCCATCCATAGGCAAAAAGTCCACGCCTTCCAGGAAGCAGCAGGGGGGCCTCCGACGAGCCTGCCCCCCCCCTCCTCCCACCCCGCTCTCTGCGCGTGGCCGGCCCCTCCTTAACTGCAGCACCCTCCGCGCCGCATATCGATCTGCGAGGGAATCCCGGGGCGCAGCGAACACGCCATATGGGCGACAGAGAATACTGCAGCCTCCTCCTCCTCCTCCTCCTCCTCCTCCTACTCCTCCCTGGTAGGGAGGAGGAGGAAGAGGTGGAGGAGGAGAAGGAGGAGAAGGAGGAGCAGGGGAAGCCCGGCCCGCAAGGGCGTGCATGCGGCGATGGTTTTGGCCGGATGTCCCGGCCCTTTCCCCAAGCCGGTCCCCTGGCAGCCTAACCATGAGGCAGCGTTAAGGGCGGGGATCAGCTCCGAAAGAGATGCATCGACCCCCACTCGCCCATTCATGGCCGATGGGGGCTCGATGGGAACGTGCGGATCCGCTATCGAGAGCCTATCGTCTACCTTTCGCCGACGTATCGCTGATCCAAGCCTATTCTCCGAGCCGGTCCCCTGGCAACTTTCGCGGCATAACTCGGGCCTCCGGCGGCCTTCCTGGACGATCCTGGCTCCACAAACTGCAGAACGCTCTCGGCGAGGCGAAGCCGCTGGGAGGCATCCGGGGGCTGGAAAGCCGCAGCGATCCAACGAACATGCCCGATACCTTCGAACCTCGAACCTCGAATCTCGAAACGTGGCTCCCCAGAGCTCTGACCCCCTTCTCCAGGACCGGCTTCTCATCCTGAGTCGTTTTTTGCACGGTCCTGGGACCCGACGAGGGCCCCCATGAGGCCGAAAATAGCAAAACAGCGCCAGCCGTGCCTTTGTCAGGACCCGAGGGGGTCTGGGAACGACATTGGCAGGACCGAAGGGCACCGGTACCGCTCCTCCTCGGACATCTCCTGGGGTGCGTTCTGACCAGAATTTCGAAGCGAATCCAGCCGTGGCGACGAGGGCCTCCCAGGAGGCCCCAAAAACGCGGAAACGGCTTCACCGAATGGGCCCGGGGGATCATCGGGAAAGCATCCTGGCCAAGCTGTACGGCCATCTGGAGAGCTTCTACCCTAGAGGAACAAAACATGACGTGCGGAGCGCGCCAGGGGCGGCCCCGGAGGCGCCGCCAAGGGGGCCCAGCGCGGACCCAAGAAATCCGCGCGGAGCGCCACCAGCTTATGTTTATGCCGTCTTTCTTCTTATTCTTCTTCTTCTTCTTCTTCTTCTCTTTCTCAGTATTAGTATTGTTCTTCTTCGACACCCACAGGCGAGGGGACTCGAAAGTTCCCCACCCATCCTGGGCGAAAATGTCAGAGGAGTTCGTCGAACACAGACCCCCGACGTCAGATTTTTTCCATGACGCGACCCCCAAATGTCTGGACCCATTCCCCGGGACCGGCTTTTCATCCCGAGTCTTTCTGCGGAGGGCCCCAAAGCCCGGTGAGGGCCCCAGAGGCCGAAGATGGCCAAAAATCTCCCGTCGTGATGTTTCACGACCCTGAGATCCGAACTTGCAACAAACATTGCAACGCCGCGAACAAATTACGGCCGGAGCCCCAGACCCCATTTTTCTGCCTCCTTTCTTCGAGCCGGATCGATATGTGGGGGTCCCGGGGCCCGAAAACGGAACGGAATCACGCCCGTGGTGAAAGCACGGCGGCGTCGGGATCTCAGGGCTCGTCGAGCGCCGACGACGGGGGGTCCTTCGCGTAGCTCAGCGGGCCCTCGCGCTCCCAGTAGGCGGCGGACCGCCGCGCGTGGCGCAGCGCGGCGGCCAGCCGCGCCCTCGGCAGCGGCGCGGCGCCCGGGAGCCGCTGCTCCTGCGCTCGCGGGCGTCAGTCTTCGGTCGCGGGGTGTCCTCCTACAGGCGGACATTGGACCGCAATCTATATTTTTATATATATATATATACACACACACTGAACAATGTTTTTTTGTTGAAGAATACGGCTTTCCAGAAGCATTCAACAATACGTAACAACATCGTCCCCGGACTCTGTTTGGACTATCTATACGCGCCGACCCAGACCCTCGTCGAGTCCCGAGACAGCAGTCACCACAGGAGGTGCTCCGCCATGCTCGGCCTCTGCGGGCCTTCACCGGCCCTCGGGACTGTCAACAAAAAGACTCGGGATGAAAAACTTGAGCAGGGACCGACCGTCCTGGCACTCCTTACAGGCCTACCACGACATGTTCTCAGTACCCAGACATGTTCCAAGAACAAGAACACTGTTCTTAAAACATAAACCCGATGCTCCAATCAGATGTCGTGCAAACCGCAGAAAAGGTTCGTAGAGCATTCTTGGGTGGGCCTATAGGCAAGCCGGGACGCTTCGCCACTGCTTGACGAAACTGGTCTTAGGTCGGGCATGTCCCCCTACAGGGGAATCTAAGGCGAACAGTAACACATACATACTCCACAAGTGCACTAAAATGACATTGAAAAAAAACAAAAAACAAAAACCCTCCGACGATGTTCGGACTATCTTTGAATATCCCGCTGTAGAGGGACAGGCCCGACTTAAAACTGGTCCCGGGGAATGGGTCCAGACCTCCGGGGGCCCCGCCACGAAGAAGTCACGCCGTCGGGGGTCTGGGCCGCAGGGACGCGTTCCGCGCGGGGCCTCCGCGAGCAGAGCGCCCCGCCTCTGTGGCTTTTGGGTCGGGCGTGTCCTCCAACAGGGGGATTTTGGGCGAGAAAGTTTAGAACATTAAGAATGTGTTAAAAAGCCAAAACTTATCAAACAAACAAAGACGTCCCCCGATCATTTTTGGGCTATTTTTTGGATTTTCCTCCTGCAGAGCGACAGGCCCAGCTCATCCGTGGGTGCGAGGGATCGCGGCCCAGGGGCCCGGCCCGCGAGGCCGCAGATCCCTGGACAGGTTTATCGCCCGCGGCCTGCAGCGCGAGGTCGGCCATGTGGAAGTGGCAGACGGCCACCTGGCGGAGGCTCGAGGGTATCGGGGGTACATCGGGCACTTTCGTAGACGGAGACTGAGAAGGAGGAGGAGGAGGAGGGAGGAGGAGGAGGAGGAGGAGGAGGAGGAGGAGGAGGAGAATCCAGACCTCCAACATAATTATTCAAGGAACAGCGGGGGAAAGTTGACACTCTTCGGCCTCGTGGAGGCCCTTGGCCAGGCCCCAGGACCGTTCAAAAAAACGACTCAGGATGAGAAGCCGGTCCTGGAGAAGGGGGCCAGAGCTCTGGGGAGCCACGTTTCGAGATTCGAGGTTCGAGGTTCGAAGGTATCGGGCATGTTCGTTGGATCGCTGCATGCCTCCCAGCGGCTTCGCCTCGCCGAGGGCGTTCTGCAGTGGGGGGAGTCAGGATCGTCCCGGGAGGCCGCCGGGGGCCCGAGTTGTGCCGCGAAAGCTGCCAGGGGACCGGCTCGGGGAATGGGCTTGACTCAGCGATGAGTCGGCGAAAGGTAGACGATAGGCTCTCGATGGCGGATGCGCACGTTCCTATCGGGCCCCCATCGGCTATGAATGGGCGATTGGGGGTCGATGCATCTCACTCTGAGCCCATCCCCGCCCTCAACGCTGCCCCATGGTTTAAGTCGGGCCTGTCCCCATACAGGGGGATTTTCGACGGAAAAAAAATACACCCAAAATAGCCAGGAAATAATCCAAAAATAATCAGGGGACTATTTTTTGAATATTGTTTCACCTTTTTGGGACATTTTCGGGGTATGTTTCATTTTTCGTCGAAAATCTCCCTGTAGGGGGACCCGCCCGACATCCCCCATGGTTTTCGGGTCACACCTCGGCTGTCCGGCGGCCGCTCGGGACGAGCCGCGCACCCCCGGAAAGCTCTCAGCGAGGCGCCGCCGCTGGAGCACACCCCGAGGCTGGCACACCGCCAGGGTCCGACGAAGACCTACGAGAGCTGCTCTTCCTCTCGCTGTCGCTCGGACGTCCCTTTCCCGTGCATTTGTCGGTTTTCGTGCGTGTGTGTGTTTTTTTTGCTCGATGGTCCAGGATGGCCCTCCGCGGTCTCGCCGAGAAAGAAAATGCACGCGTCCGAGCAATGCCAGGCCCTCCGTCGGCGGCGAGGCAGAGCTGCCGCCTGGGCCTGGCCCGGGCGCTCGCGCACCCCCTTCCGCCGGTGCCACCGGCTGGCGGGGGCGAGGGCGGAGCAGGAGCGGAGCGGCGTGGAGCGAGGAGGGCCCAGGCATTTATCCGACGATGAGAGTGGCTTTCATCCGGGCGTTCTCCCTCGTGAGCGTTTTGTTTTTGAGTGCGGACAGGCTGGCAAAGAACGTGAGCGAGTGCAGTGAACTGGCGAACGCACGCCTGGTCGAGAAGGCAAGTTAAACTCACTAGCAGAGGTCACAAGCTCTAGTCCGGACCACAGTGGGCCGGCGTTCTCCCTTGTGGGCGTGCTCTTATTCGGCGTTTCGGCCTTGGGCGGAAGGGGGGGGAGGAGGGGGGGGCGTCTGGCTCCGGACCTCTGCCTGGTGCGGCTGTTTGCAGCAGTGCGTCCCGTGGGGGAGACTCCACCTGCTCAAAAAAACGGTCGCCCAAACAGCCAAGATCAGCTTCATGGGGGGACGAGGGGTGATGCGAGGGCCCGCGCCGATCGGCAAAACGATGATTGAGAAAACGATCATCTTGGTTTCGGCAACGCGAGACCCGTCATGAAGGCAGGAGAACCCATGATTGCATCGATAAGTCGGATCGGCGGTCGACATGAATCGGATCGATGGAAATCGGCAGCCAAGTCGGGAAAAGTCGAATCGGCGCAAAACCGGCAGGCTAGTGTGCCTCCAATAAGAAATCGGAGGCCAAATCGGAATCCGAAGCCGAATCGAGATCGGAATCGGAATCCATCGAAGCCGAATCGAAACGAGTCGGAGGAATCGAAACGAGCCCCGTGAGGGCCCCCCAAGGGCAAGCAAGCGTGGTCCCTGGGCGAGGCACCACCCCCGAGGGGAGGAGCGGCTGGGCTCTGCTGGGGCCCGCGCAGGACCCGGGCGTCCCACGCCAGGGGAAGAAAAGCACGGCGGTTGTTTCCATCAACGTTCGGCCCTTCGAGCTCCTGCTCTTTCCTCTCCCTCCTTCTCCCTCCCATTCTCCCTCTCTCCCTCCACCTCCGCTTCCTGCCGTTCTCTCTCTCTCTCTCTCTCTCTCTCTTTCTCCCTCCCATTATCCTCATCCCCTGCCCCATTCTCCCTCTCTCCCTCCACCTCCACCTCCTCCTCCTCCTCGTCCTGTCCCTCGTTCCAGGAGGGGCGAGCAGGAGCGATCGGAGCTGGACCGTGGAATGTCTGGGCTCGAAGGGAGGGATGATCTCGCATGGTTCCGGGCTGGGGATGTTGAACACGTTCCTTGCCCCTGCCTGTGAGGGGCAATGATAACAAGGGAACAAGCTCGGGGGGGGGGAGCCAACGAACGCACTCGGCGATGCATCGCCCATGGTTCGGCGACTGGCATCCGATAGCGAATCCGCAAGCTCCTGGACGGGGTGGGCTATCGGCCTCGGTCGGCGATCAATGAGCGATTGGGGGTCGATGCATCCCAGCGGAGCCACTCCCCCCCTAATGTTGCCCCTGGGCTGGGCCTCCAGAAGCCTCCAGAGACTTCTGGCGACATCCTGGGCTCAAGATCCGGGGCGGCACTAACATCTACAAGTGAAGGGTCGAGGAACGAATCGCTCGCAGCATGGGGAAATCGCGGAATGCACACGATTTTGCGCCGGTACAGCAGGCGCTTCGTCAGCGCATTCCCGTCCTCATGTTCCTGCTCCACCTGTTCTTGCTGTTCCTCAACCTTCTCCCTCTCCTCCTCCTCCTTCTCCTCCTCCTGCTGCTGGGAGGAAACTTCCACGACGATCAGAGGAGCTGGCCCTGTTCGCTCCTCCTCATCATCCATTTCCTCTTCTTCATCATCCTCATTATCATCGCATCCTCCCTTTCCCGTCCTACATCCGTTCCTCCTCCTCCTCCTCGAGGCCGGGGGATTGTGGAGCCCCTCGGGTTCTCAAAGAAGTTGTACTAGCTTTCACCTTTATGTTCATCGTCACGAAGATCATCATTATCTTACCTCTCTCTTTTTGTTGTTCTCTCTCTCTCTCTCTCGTTCTTCCGCACAGCCGCTTCAAAACAAATGCCCCCCCGAGCATGGTCTTCGAAACTCTAGCCCTGTGCTAAGCGACATGGGGCTGAAATTTCGAGGACCATGCTCGGGGGGCATTTTTATTTGGGGGATCTTCCGGCTTTCTGAGGATATCTTGGTGCTGAGAGTGTGCATGTTCTCACTGCCTGCGGAAGCTGGCGGAAGCTGCCACAAGGGGAAGGGATGGGAAGAGGAGTAGCAAGAAAAGTGGCGCGTGCTTAGGGCTTGCAGCCGCAGAGGTGCTGAGGGCACCTTTTTGCATTGCGCACTATATCCAATCGTGCTGTACTTTGCGCGAGCACAAAGTTGATATCTTTTTGGTCATGCGGCGAGTAAAAAGATCATTCCCCTCCCTCTTCTCCCTCCCTTCCCCTCCTCCTCCCCCGCTTTCCGACCTCCTCCTTCCGTCGACGCCCAGCCCGCCGCTCGGCCGACGTGCGCGGGCGGGGAGGCCTGTGTTTCGTGGAAGGCGACAGAAGGGGCGGAAGGGCAGGAGAGAGGGGAAGAAGGGGGGTGTAGGAGGCGGAGGAGGACCCCCCCCCAAAAAAAAACAAAAAAATGCGGCCGCGCCGCGTTTTTGTTGTGTTTCCTTTTGGGGGGGTGGGGGCGGGCATTCGCTGACAGCCTGGCCAACACCCGGATCAGGTATGGTATAGCTACCCCGCCTGTTCAGCATAGCTGGGGGACGTTGCATTTGAGGCACGACTTGCTCCTCACGCGCAGCTCGTAACAGTTCGCAACTCTGGAGAAAGTTACACTCTAGACGCGTGGAGATCCTCAACCGCATTCTCCAGCAACGCTGGAAAAAAAGGTTCCATTTGAGGCGCGGTTGGCTCCTCACCCCAAGGGCATATGTGGAATGCTCCGTTGTCCCTTGTTGGTCTCGCCCTTCGCATTGCAGTGTGTGTGTGTGTGTGTGTGTGTGTGTGTGTGTGTGTGTGTGTGTGTGTGTGTGTGTTTGTGTGTGTGTGTGGGGGGGGGGGGACTTCGCTTTTCTCTTCGGCGAAACCTTCAATCACAACATTACTCGACACGGACAACTCCATTTGTGCATACCTATACGACCACCCTTCGGGTGATAAGGAGGTGAGGGGGGGGAGGGACCAACGTCGCACTCGATCGATCTCACTCTCGATATCACTATCGATCTCACCATCGATCTCACATTCGGTCTCACTATCGATCTCACTATCGATCTCACTATCGATCTCCCATTCGGTCTCACTATCGATTTCACGATCGATATCACAATCGATCTCACATTCGGTCTCACTATCGATTTCACTATCGATCTCACAATCGATCTCACATTCGGTCTCACTATCGATTTCACTATCGATATCACAATCGATCTCACAATCGATCTCACATTCGGTCTCACTATCGATCTCACTATCGATCTCCCATTCGGTTTCACTATCGATTTCACCATCGACTTCACACTCGATCTCACATTCGGTCTCACTATCGATCTCACTATCGGTCTCACAATCGATCTCACAATCGGTCTCACTATCGATTTCATCATCGATCTCACAATCGATCTCACAATCGATCCCACATTCGGTCTCACCATCGATATCACTACCGACCTCGCAATCGACGTCATCATCATCATCAACATCAACATCATCAACATCATCAGCATCGCCATCATCAACATCATCATCATCATCATCATCATCATCATTACCATCATCATCACCATCATCATCCTAATCATCATCATCATCAACATCATGATCGGGACACCGACGGGACACCGATGGGACAACGGCGGGACACCGGCGGGACACCGCGCGCCACCGGCCGCCCGGTGGAGA